TTCGTAGGGATGGACATCAGCGAAGACCGAGTCAAGCAAGGCACGGTGACTGGAGAGGGCTTAGCTAGAATCGTCCTGTACTGCACGCAAGGCATGAAAGGTGACTTCGACAAGCGGGAGCGTGAAGTTGGCATAAGTCGCCAAAAACTGTCAGACTTCCTGTCTGTGCAAGATTTACGGAAGGCTTTTGTGGAAGACTGCGGTGGGATGATGCAGGTTGCACCAGAAGCTAGGCGTCACTGGGACATCAGCATTGCCGGAGCGGGCAAGAGGACTTCCGTTCACAACGGGAGGCTGAAGAGACCGGCTGCAGCACTGAAGAGGCCCTCCTCGTCCAGTTCAGCGCCGCCCAGCGTCAGTCTGAGACTACAGCATCGAACGTTCCGGGACGTTGGCTCCCGCAGTCCTGGGCTCTGCAGCATTTTGCTGTGCTAGGAAGGTTTGTAGCTCCGTGAACCCTTCTTTGGCTGATGTCGCACAACTCGATGTTCTGGGACACGTCCCCGCAGCCGTCTCCGACACAACTGGAAGCTGCGGCTGCGTCCAATCCATTGAGCCCTCTGGCGGCCACGGTAGTGGACTCCGAGACTCCAGGAAGCCTTCCAGCGAGGACTCCATGCTCGCCGAAGGCTATGTCTCCAGCCATTTCAGAAGCTTCGACGATACCTGGCTTACCGAGTCGACTGCCGAGGCAAGCGTCAAAGCGGAGGCGGATGTCTTCGCCGCCTGAGGAGATGATCGATCCAGAGTCGGGACATCCTGGAAGGATGAGTACTCAGTTCACTCAGGCAGAGCCGGAGTTCAGTACTCCACCGAGAAAGCCGGCAGCTCCAGCTTTGGAGTTTAGCCCAGCTCCGGACAGTGCGGAAGTGCGACGAATGCTCCAGACAAGGTTGGGACCAGACCGTGGCCTCTGGGACTGCTCTGCTATGGCGTCTAGTGAGTCTAGTGATCCTTACCAGCTGGTTCCGACGGAAGAAGAGGAGCAAGCAGACGCAAGGATCCCGGTGGAGGAGCACGAGAAGCAGACAGGATTTTCTTTGAGTCTCTTATCGCAGAGAGTTCGAGCCGGCCTCGGGCTGATTTACAGTCTCTGCTTCGTAGGGATGGACATCAGCGAAGACCGAGTCAAGCAAGGCACGGTGACTGGAGAGGGCTTAGCTAGAATCGTCCTGTACTGCACGCAAGGCATGAAAGGTGACTTCGACAAGCGGGAGCGTGAAGTTGGCATAAGTCGCCAAAAACTGTCAGACTTCCTGTCTGTGCAAGATCCACCGAAGGCTTGTGTGGAAGACTGCGGCGGGATGATGCAGATTGCACCAGAAGCTAGGTGTCACTGGGACATCAGCATTGCCGGAGCAGGCAAGAGGACTTCCGTTCACAACGGGAGGCTGAAGAGACCGGCTGCAGCACTGAAGAGGCCCTCCTCGTCCAGTTCAGCGCCGCCCAGCGTCAGTCTGAGACTACAGCATTGAACGTTCCGGGACGTTGGCTCCCGCAGTCCTGGGCTCTGCAGCATTTTGCTGTGCTAGGAAGGTTTGTAGCTCCGTGAACCATTCTTTGGCTGATGTCGCACAACTCGATGTTCTGGGACACGTCCCCACAGCCGTCTCCGACACAACTGGAAGCTGCGGCTGCGTCCAGTCCATTGAGCCCTCTGGCGGCCACGGTAGTGGACTCCGAGACTCCACGAAGCCTTCCAGCGAGGACTCCATGTCCAGCCATTTCAGAAGCTTCGACGATACCTGGCTTACCGAGTCGACTGCCGAGGCAAGAGTCAAAGCGGAGGCGGATGTCTTCGCAGCCTGAGGAGATGATCGATCCAGAGTCGGGACATCCTGGAAGGATGAGTACTCAGTTCACTCAGGCAGAGCCGGAGTTCAGTACTCCACCGAGAAAGCCGGCAGCTCCAGCTTTGGAGTTTAGCTCAGCTTCGGACAGTGCGGAAGTGCGACGAATGCTCCAGACAAGGTTGGGACCAGACCTGGTGTCTGGGACTGCTATGGCGTCTAGTGAGTCTAGTGATCCTTACCAGCTGGTTCCGACGGAAGAAGAGGAGCAAGCAGACGCAAGGATCCCGGTGGAGGAGCACGAGAAGCAGAAAGGATTTTCTTTGAGTCTCTTATCGCAGAGAGTTCGAGCCGGCCTCTGGCTGATTTACAGTCTCTGCTTCGTAGGGATGGGCATCTACAGCATCGAACGTTCCGGGACGTTGGCTCCCGCAGTCCTGGGCTCTGCAGCATTTTGCTGTGCTAGGAAGGTTTGTAGCTCCGTGAACCCTTCTTTGGCTGATGTCGCACAACTCGATGTTCTGGGACACGTCCCCACAGCCGTCTCCGACACAACTGGAAGCTGCGGCTGCGTCCAATCCATTGAGCCCTCTGGCGGCCACGGTAGTGGACTCCGAGACTCCAGGAAGCCTTCCAGCGAGGACTCCATGCTCGCCGAAGGCTATGTCTCCAGCCATTTCAGAAGCTTCGACGATACCTGGCTTACCGAGTCGACTGCCGAGGCAAGAGTCAAAGTGGAGGCGGATGTCTTCTCGCCGCCTGACGAGATGATCGATCCAGAGTCGGGACATCCTGGAAGGATGAGTACTCAGTTCACTCAGGCAGAGCCGGAGTTCAGTACTCCACCGAGAAAGCCGGCAGCTCCAGCTTTGCAGTTTAGCCCAGCTCCGGACAGTGCGGAAGTGCGACGAATGCTCCAGACAAGGTTGGGACCAGACCTGGCCTCTGGGACTGCTATGGCGTCTAGTGAGTCTAGTGATCCTTACCAGCTGGTTCCGACGGAAGAAGAGGAGCAAGCAGACGCAAGGATCCCGGTGGAGGAGCACGAGAACAGACAGGATTTTCTTTGAGTCTCTTATCGCAGAGAGTTCGAGCCGGCCTCTGGCTGATTTACAGTCTCTGCTTCGTAGGGATGGACATCAGCGAAGACCGAGTCAAGCAAGGCACGGTGACTGGGGAGGGCTTAGCTAGAATCGTCCTGTACTGCATGCAAGGCATGAAAGGTGACTTCGACAAGCGGGAGCGTGAAGTTGGCATAAGTCGCCAAAAACTGTCAGACTTCCTGTCTGTGCAAGATCCACCGAAGGCTTTTGTGGAAGACTGCGGCGGGATGATGCAGATTGCACCAGAAGCTAGGCGCCACTGGGACATCAGCATTGCCGGAGCGGGCAAGAGGACTTCCGTTCACAACGGGCGGCTGAAGAGACCGGCTGCAGCACTGAAGAGGCCCTCCTCGTCCAGTTCAGTGCCGCCCAGCGTGGTGGCGCCTGCTGTTGTCAACACGGAGCCTGCCAACCTCACAGAGCTGCTCCACGACTTTCGCCTGGTAGCTTTGCTTGAAGACTGCAACCAGGCTGGGTTTTCCCTGAAATCTAGAGTTCCCGCACTCTCCTGTATTCCTTTCCCCTGGTTAGGTTGCTGTCTACTTCAACCCGTTTCCGCCCTTTCCGCACGAGTTTGTTCCGGACCAGGGCTACCCGAACACGCTCTTCCCCTTTTGGCCTCTTGGTGTGCCGAAGCAAGACCGCGTCAGCTTTCAAAGACTACTCCAGACTGCGATGGCCACAGACAACAAGCGGATGCGGTCTCACTACCTCTGGGGCGTGGTTGAGAAGTACTGCCAAGAACTCTTCTGCTACAAGACACCCAGCATGCGCTGTTTCTACAAGGACATCACTCGCTCTGTCCTGCAGGAGCTCCAGTGGACCGATGCAGTCGAGGTGGGCCTCGTGCACTTACTCATCTTTGCGCAGTGTTGCAAGGTCGGCAAGGCCTCCTTGGACGCAACTGAGACGTCCGGTCTCACCGTCCACACTCGACTGCAGCGCTATCGGAAAGTCTTCGGTCGCAACCTACAGTATACACCTATTCTCTTCGTGTGCCCATCGAGTGCACACGCCCTCCACTTAGAGCAGTACCTGCATCGATACATTGGCCACTTACGAACCACACAAAGTTCTCGGCATGGGGACCGACAACTTAAATAAAGATGGAAGAGAGCTGTATACTCGAGACTCTGCTGACCAGCTCCTAGACGTGCTCCATCGTGCCTCTCAGAAGACCGTGGCTCAACTCTGTGCTAGCAAGAATGCCATGAAGATGCTTAAGCACGGCGCCCCCAAGGATCCTACAGCCAAGGACGAATTAAGTAGTGCTGACCTTTAAACAAAGGCTTCCAGACTCGCAGTGCATGTTGCTGGATTTCCGGATACCAGCCAAAGATCATTTCTCAGAGCAACACGCTGCAGTGTACAGCCAGCAGCCTCGCAAGCCTACTGCTGAAATGCCCTTCCGTCTGTGGAGTTGAGCATGTGTATCTTTCAGACTTTGAAAGCAGCGGTCACAACAGTCATGTTCCTTCTTTAGCGGGCCTTTAGCCGAAAGCCTCCCGAGCTGGGACGACACGAGATCTGCAATGTTGGTCGAATGTTTATCTTTCCTTCTCGTGGCTACTAGTTTTTAGGCTTCCTAGCCTTTCAACTCCTGGCTACAAAATCAGCTGCCCATGATGGCCATGGTAGTCCATGTCCTGCGTACGGTGGAAGAATTCGTGGCATACAAGGAATACAAGGAAGGAGGAACGACATTCGGAAGTGATAGTTGTGTTATGTGGACAGCATTGTGCGTGGAGAGTCATCGTGGTGCAATGATTCATCCTCACGAGATCCCGGACAAGAATCGGTCTTCATCACAGCGCCGGCAGCAGTGACGCACCAAAACATCATGCTAGATGCACCTGACGAGAGATCAGCATCTCCGGCGAAACCCGTTACTGTAGGCTGCCGCTAGGCTAGGGATGTTTAGCAAGTCTTGCGATCTTGGCCTTGCACGGACCTACTTCGATCCGAGCTACCTGGGCACAGCAAGTGTTCTGGATGTAGCAGCAAAAAGAGAAGCAGCACGAGGAGGAGCAATACTGCAACGAAGACCCAGGAGAATGATCGTGTTGCTTGTGTAGCAAGGAGAGATTCGTGAATCTGCTGTCGCGAGGTCCCAGTGTGGTGGCAGTGGCTGCTCGTCCAGCCCTTGGTCTGGCTTTCACTGTAGCCAGCCGCATTGACTACCTTTGAAAAGCACTTTGCTCAGGGCAGAGGGGGCAGAGGAAACAGCTAGCTGCCCGAGAAAATGTAGCCAGCTCAGCGTTCGCCTTTTTCCACTCCAGTGTACGAGGTCTTGGAGTCCTCGAGTTTTTTCTTGATCGTGCTTGTGCCACCGACCTCTTTGCATGTCGGGATTGAGGTCACGAATTGAGCTATTGCACTTGGGGCCCGGATCCTAAAATGGCTACTAAAAGTCCGACTCAGACCCTACGTAGCTGGTCTTCAGCTCGCAGAGATCAGGCGACTGGAGGCCCTACGGCGAGTGCACCGCGACCTGTGGTAACGGCGCGGGCCGTAGACGGCAGCGATTGCAAGGGAGAATCTGCAAGATGCCCAGATGCACGATCGCCTGGCCTAATCACTTTCGTATTCCTCTGACATTAGAGATTGGCCTAGGCATCAAGAAGCGCACCCGGATGCTGAAGATCGTGGATGCCTGCTGCTAAGCCCTCGAAGCCGGGTCGCTTGGAGCACAGCTTTGCTGCTCTGCCGTGCCAGGAGCCGGTGCAGTCGATCATCGGGGAGAACATCCTGGTGCGAGTGACAGTTATGTTCAAAGTGCATGAAGCCATGTGGTTCTTCGGGGCATGCTGGTAGAAAAGACTGGGCTTCAGTGGGGGTGATCGCATGGAAGGCACTAGTACGAATTCAGCTTTAGAGGATAATCAACACCGAAACTCGAAAAAAGGTAGCAGTTGCCACGCAGTGGTGTCAGGGCAGAAGGCATCAGAAACATGTTATCTGTGGGCCCGCGCAGGGTGCAGACGACCTTGAGCGCAAGCTGCGGTGCTCAGAATGACTTGATACTCTTGCAGAGCCAGAGTGTCCAGCCATGTCCAGCTTCGAGGCGACCCCGGGCTCCAGTTGAACCGTTGTCTGAGGCTTGTGGAACTGACGGAGCGCGCAGGGCAGCTACAGGCAATGTCGGGTATGCTGCAGTGTCTCTGGACTGTTGACTCGTTGCCGGCTTCCGGGTTATTTCTTACCTGACAGGCATCACGCTCGCGACAGCTGGCTGCATGCTTTGCAGCCCTGTCCTCGCTTGCCTTTTCAGTGAGTGGTGACAGTAGCCTCACATCGGTGGTGGCCGGAGAGCTGCACCGGCACATGCACATGTTCAGGGGATTGGCCGAAATTCCCTCGAGGCCGGTTTCTTGGGGCTTCTCGCTTGCGTCTCCTTCGGCCGCCGCAGCGCTTTCTTCGCCGGGCTCATGCCTCAGATGTCAGCTTCTGTTTGGTGGTGCTCGGGCCGTGACCGCGCTTGAGGCACGACGGGCCCCGCTACCATCTGGCAGCCGAGACTGAGTCTGATTGAGGACCAACTGACCTGGGTTTGCAGCGCTGTGTCTCCAAATCCGATTCTGTGCTTTGCACCGCGCGTGCCAGGACATTTTGCAGGCCAGGGTGGCTGAAGTTGCCCTCGAAGTGCTGTTCATAGTCACGCTGCTGCACGAAATGCCATTGCAACCCAACGGGTGTTTCCTTGCCTGTCCAAAATGACGACGAAGATGATGGCGCAAGTTCGAGACATGCCAGATGACAGATAGTTTGCAACTCCTGCTCTGTGATGCAGACAGCCAGGTGTAATTTGTATAGCCTGATCAGCTCGCCTGACGTGCAGGCGAAATTGCGGCCTGCACGAGGGCGTCCAAAGTGATGCTCCCATGCTTAGCAAGCTAGTTCCGTGCAATGAAAAGTACGCTTCAGCAAATATATATATATATATATATATATATATATATATGTATATGTATACATGTATCATATGTACATATGTATGTATGTATGCGTGCATGTATGTATGTACGTATCTATCTATCTACTTATCTATATATATATATATATATACATATATATATATATATATATATGTGCAGACATTTACTTGCATATGAATGTATGACCCTGTATCTAAGTTTGCTGACAGTGGAAGTACACTATGATTGGGTGAGCTTATCTTGCATTGTACCGTGTTGTTTGTCGACATCAGTCGCAAGCATAGCCGGGACCGAGTGGGTTTCTTGCACCGTCCCATGTCCGGAGAAGTTGATCTCAAGGATTGGCTTTAAGAACTGGGAGCTGCTACAGAAGGGAGCGGAAGGACATCTGTTGGTCTGTCAGGACTTATGCAGGCTTTTTCGCATTTATGTCACCGCTCTTCTTCCAGAATTGAAGCTGTCGGGCTGCCGTGGTCGAAAGCAGTATAGATTGCCAATTCCCAAGGCATTGCCTCAGGCCGGATTCGCCCGTCGGTTTCGTGTGGTGCAAGCACCACCTCTCAATTCATGCAGTGCCCAACTTCAAGGCGGGGCCTGCCACGGTTGCTTGCACAGTCAGTTGCTTCTATCTTCATAAGCACTCAAACAGTACAAGAAAGAACGAGCGCGTTCATTGAAACATGTGTAGAGCGTCTTAGAGCTGTGGCATCGGCGATAAGGAATGATAAGGATTCGAACAGCTGGCAGCATGCATAAGGCACCGCCTGTAGTGATGTGAGATGTGAGCGATGCCTGAGAGTCGGGCAATGTAGGTCTGCAGCACCAAAGAAAGTGCTGTGGAAATTTCGACTGCCAGAATTGCAAAAATGGACAATTACACCTAACGGGTTGCAGCAAGCTGATGATTGTGCATAGGTTTTTTAAAAAACGTAGTGCATAGGTTTTTTTAAAAAAACCTATGCCTAACGGGTTGCAGCAAGCTGATGATTGTGCTAGTGATGCTATTTTGCAGTCTGAAACGGCCTGAGGAGAACCTACTGAAAAAGCACGGCTCTTGTTTCGGCTCGAGCCATGGGGACGTCGCAGTACTCCTCGCGCCATGTGGAGAGGCTGGCTGCCGGTATGCGGTCCGCAATGCTTCTTCAGCCTCTTCTCCGACGACCAGGGTCAAAGCCCACGGAGCGCCAAGCAGCGTTCCTATGAGGGCGTCAAGGAAGATAAAGGCTCCAATGGCCAAAGGACGCTGCAGCGAGAAGTGCGAGTGCCAACTTGGGAATTCGACAGCTGCCGCTTTTCTATTCCATTGCTGGCCTGTCTTGTGCTTTTTGCTTTGGTGATGCTTATTTTCAACCAGCTACACGGAGCAGATGCGTCGGCACGACATCCTCCTATCGTCATTCCGGACTGCAGCCAGAACTTCACAAGCGAGGCTCCCCACATCAACGTCCGAGCAATGGCATACTGCTGCCATCATTTAGGCCTTCACTGCCAAGACCTGGAACTCCGAGCCGGTGCTGCGAATGGGATGGGCCCAGCACATGCGATAGACATTGCCGAGAGAGGCCGAGACCGGCAACCAGGGCCAAAGAATGCCCTGCAGGTCCCGAGGCCACTCACCGGCACACATTCGACCCTCTTCGTGCCTGAGGCCGCATTTGTCCCTTCGCACCCCTTCCTAGACCTCTTTCTTCTCTTTGGTTTTTTTCAAACCCCTCTCTCTCTCTCGTTGTCTGTCTCTCACTGTCTCTGTCTCTCGTTGCCCTCTCCCTCTCCCTCTGCCTCCCTCGCTCCCGCTCTCTCCACCCTCTCCCTCCCTCTCTCTCTCCAACTCTCTCCTCCCTCTCCCTCCGTCCCTCCTCCTCTCTCTCTCTCTCTCTCTCTCTCGCTCTCTCGCTCTCTCTCTCTCTCTCTCTCTGTCCGGCTGTGTGCCTGTCTGGGTCTGTCGGCCTCTCTCCGTCGGAGTCTGTGCCTGCCTGTGTCTGTGTCTGTGTTTGCCTGTCTGTCTGTCTCTCTGTCTGTCCCTGTCTCTGTCTCTGTTTGTTTGTCTGTCTCTCTGTCTGCTTGTCAGTCTCTCGCTCTCTCTCTGTTTCCCTTTCCCTCTCTCGAGACAGAGTCTAAAGCCTACATCTTCAGCTGAGGACTGCAATGCCGGGCTGTCGAATTGGCAGAGAGGCTGGTCAGACGACAAGAAGGACACGGGTGAGGTGAGCAAATCATCTCCCATCTCCATCCTGTTTTCTGGCATAGTCTCTCTTCCACTAATATAAACGGTTCCCACGACAACAGACAGAACATGGCCGTGCCTTTGAGCGCTGCATTGCATGGTCAGTCTTTTGCAGGATTGGTGCTGCCTCCATGAAAGCAGAGGTTGCACTTCCTTCGACTGCACGGGTTCGGCAGCTGGGCCTCATTCAGCAACACATGCAACATGCAGTAGATCAAAGTGGTGTTGCAATTATCTGACGTTTGACACAAGGCACATCACCTTTAGTAGCATGCACATCGCTTGCCGAGCCATTGGGGTTCCTGCCAAAGGTAGTCGCTGTGCGGACGGCGCATTGTGTTAGCAAAAATTTTGCCCTGCCTCCAAACACACCTCTGCTGCCCGCTCTGAACAGCTCCCTTGCACAACCACATGAGATCTCAAGTCCCCGGTGTGAACAGGACCGCACAGGGTTGAGTGGTTAGCTGCCTCTAGCTGTGATATCTTTGAAACTTCATTTTGTGCCATTATATTCCGAGCAGCGTCCCGCTCTTGTTTCCTAGCGTTGGCTGGGGCCTGGGTTCCTTGATGGGGTCTTGCGACGACGACAACACTAAGACCGCTGCTACGACGACGACCACCACCACCACCACCACGACGACGACGACGACTACTACTACTACTCCTGCTGCTGCTGCTACTACTACGCCGACGACGACTTCTAGGTCGAGCATGCATATCAGATGCGAACTGTGCAGGCCGGTTCCTTTGTGGCTCTAACTTCTGTTTTGGCTGTTGTGACTAAAAGCGGCCTGGCCTGTGCTTGTTCAGTAGTTTTCTCTTGTTGGAATTCGTAGAATGCATTCCCAGTCGTCGATGCTCTCATAGAGCCCCGCGGAGCTGGCTGAGCCGTGCTAGGTGGGTGACAAAACGACGACGACGACGACTAGGTCGAGCATGCATATCAGACCTGGTGTTTTCATGTCTTTCGAGATGAGCAAACTTCCCAATTTCAAGCATCCCTACGGATGGAATGTGCAAAGCTAGTGGTTCAGCTACACGAAGAGCGGAAAGTATTGGAGGGCCGAGGATTTTCTGCATTTTCTTCAGGTCTGAACAGTATCAAGTGCTTTTTGAAGCTGGGGGGTCCTCGGAGGCGGTGACAACAAGATTAGTTGTTTTGCGTAAACCGTTCACAGAGAAGCAAGAGGAGTACAGAACTCCATTGAAGATCAGAAGCTGGAGGCCTGGAAGCGCAAGGCATATGCCTGAAATGGACATCCGAAAGAACTCACCGAGATCATTGCCCCGACAATGCGTTAGGGTTCCGAGGCTTAGCAGAAGTCAATCGCCGAGGTCCACAGCATGCCATCTGGCCAGCGGGAGTGGCCAGGTTCCCAATGCCAAAGATGCAGGGCCCGAGGCTGTGAGAGTCGAACATGTACCTGCGTAACTGCGGCTGAGGTGCTGCAATCACTTCCAGAAAGGTTGCGCCCCTGAGGCTCTGAGGAGTCCACGGAGCAAGTGCAACGAACACTGCCACGGAACGGCTTCAACTTGCAGCTCGGTTGAGCCCTCTGGATGGCTCGGTTGCTAAAGCTATGATGGTCTCATCCAAGGCAGGCAGCACTTCCACTGGATACTTCACAACATCTTCTCAAACCAGGACATGCTATCGGCGCATCCTTTTCGTCCATGTCCGTGCCTTTGAGAGGAGAACGCTTGCACTCTGGCCTATAGCAAGGCAGGAGGAGGCAAGTGCTCGGTCATGCAGGGTGCTTCTTCCGACGCAGGTGCAACTGGAGTGCGATGCTTGCTGGCAGTGCTCCGTGGAGGCCAAGCACGGCACGAGAAGCCGCCGTGCTTCTGAAGTTCTGAAGCTCCAGAAGCCCGCCGGCAGGAGATGGGCTGCGAGGACGGCTCCGATCGCTCCTTCGACTGCTCTGACGACCCCTATGCTGCCCGCCCGAAAAGGTCAAGTGTCTCGCTTTCTACACTGACACTTCCCCTGCCGATTTTCCAGGGATGGAAGCAGCAGAAGCAAGAGTTTTGCTGCCAAGAGCATGGATTGGGCTGCCGTTCCGACGATCTTCCGGATCACGAGCCTTGGCATCGCTTCCGCACGCTGTAGCAGCTACTGTAGCACTAGCAGCGTCCACCACTGCAAGTGCACACAACGAGTTCTTGTCGCCTGAGGATGCCGGTCTTGGCAAGACATGGGCCCGGGCCAAGGCATGGCAGATGCAAAGGGGTCTCAAATGGGACGTTTTGACTGACAGAGGTCGACAACCGCTGGATATGGGTGAAGCGTGCAGCGGACTACGATTGCTTTGCTGCCTTGCAAAATGCCGCTGCAGCTTGGTCTTCCGACAAGAAGGTGCCGAGAAGCACTGGGTCACTGGGTGCTCTGTCACTCAGTGCCTCGCTGCCCGCCCTGCCTGCGAGGCCTACTGCTGCTGGTCCCATGGCCTCGGCTGCTGAATTCGGTTCCGACACCGGGCACGGCTCGGCGCTCGGGACATCTCGGGGCTCGGGCCTTCTGCGCTTCTGGCATCGGCAAAGCAACCGAGACCAGACCAGTAGAGCTCAAAAGGGCGTCGACGAGTCGCTTCATGTCCCCGAGCAGTGCACTCTGATGGCCTTAGGCAGATGCATGTTCCGACTTCTCCAGGGCTGCCTCTGGCGATCAAGAGTAGTTGTGAGTTACTACTCCACCACTTGGATGCGTGAGAGCCTGGACACGCGGGAAGAGCACATAGAATCATAGAAGTCTTATCCATTGAGGCCTGAAGGAGGCGCTGTCGATTCGACAGCATTTTCGGACATGTTCGCGACGACAACACCATGATGACTGATGGGGCTCCTGTTCTGGGGTAAGTCGGGTATGCCTGGATCCGAGGATCTTCAGAGAATTGCGGCCGCGTGAGTAATGCAAGCGGATTAGTGATCCCGTCATAATGTCACGGCTTTGGCTGCAGCCTCCACTTGGTTCGAAGAGGTTTGAAGTTTGCTTCCCAAGCCTTCTTGCCGCACAATGGGTTATAGCGACGTTGAGGGCGCGCCTGACGGTTGTGCAGCTGCATGCTTCGAAGGTGGCTTGCAGGGTCTTGACTATGGAAAGTTCATGTCTGCGTGTGAAGTGCAACGTAAAACATCAGTCGTAAATGGCATCTCGTAATGGTTTCTCGTGCAGCCTCCCTCCCATGCTCTCTGAATCTTGCAGGGGACCGCTCCTCCATCGAGACCGGCAAGGGCTACCAATATGTCGGGGCATCTATGGGGCAATATTCCGTCTCCTCTGACATGGTATGGGTCGGCAGAGGTCTCTAGGCCTGAAGTAGACGGGTCAGGTCTTGAGCCTTGTCACAAGATCAATGGCCTAACAGCGGGGGGAGCGAATGCAGAGAAGCGATGTGCTAGTAGCCAGGCCTTGCATTATCGGGTTCAGCGTCAGGCCGAGGGTTTTTTCGTTTGAGCGGGTTTCTTAGCCAACCCAAGCTCGGAAACGCACCGACGGGGTGGGGGGTGGCGGGGGGTCGGAGACTTTGGTTGGAAACATGCCATGTTCAGTTGGCGGAAGCCCGGCATGTTGGGGCTGGGTTAGCATGCGTTAGCAAGCCATCTGCGGTTTGAGGCATTTGCTCCACTTATTCATCTGCACATGTTCAGCATTTGAGATACTCATGTGATGGACTGTGCACTCATTCTCGCAATGTAGCGCCTGCATATACTGTACGTTCAGCTTTGGACAGACCGTCTTTTTTTGAGGGGTGGGCTGAGGTGCGGGTGACGTGATGGCAAGTGGGAGTTTCAGGAAAGCCTTGCACTCTTGATCTGAGGAATGGGGGATTGGGAGAAGAAGGAGGCGACCAAGAAGGGCTCAAGTGGCCTTGCTTGGTGCGTGCCGTGCCTCATGCTGGCGGCGCTTCTCGCCGGATTGGGTGCCCTGGCTTCTGTCTACTTTGCAAGGTGTTTCTGATCTTCGCTTGTTTGGTCTCCTTGGCGAAGGCTGAACAATCCAAAACGCACTGTGACAGGCCTTTTGTGGTGGTTCTTCTCGCATCGCACGCCTGTGGGCGCAGACGACATCGAGCCCACTTTGAACTGCTACGAAGGATACCATGACTGGAAGAACCTCTGGACTCCGGAGAAGCAAGCCGCCTGTTGCGATCAGTACGGTCGTGCGTGCCCCCATTACCATGTGGAGCGTGACGTGATTCACAAGGAAGTGCCCTATCCTGTTTCCTCGCCAACGCACTACCACTACGTTTCCGTCCCCGTCCCTTCCCCAAGCCACGTTGTCTACAAGACCCGTTACATCCCGCCGGCACCAGTCGTGCACCACTTTGCCTACAATTGCCATGCCGGCTACTCGAACTGGTACTTCGGCTGGTCGGACCATAAGAAGGGATGGTGCTGCACTCACGAGCATCGTGGGTGCCCCGGCACCTGGCATGGAAGCTACCACCTGAACATGCACGTGATGCACGGCATTGGCCATGCTCAGGGGCACATCTATGACTGCGACGCCGGATTCTCCAACTGGATGCAGGGCTGGTCGGACTCCAAGAAGGATTGGTGCTGCTCGCATGAGCAGAAGGGCTGCGTCAAGTACCACTGCACCGGGGAAGTGCCTTGGACTTTTTGCGTCCTGATCGAGCGGCTTTTGTCCCGCTTCGGCTGCTCTTGGCTGATGTGCCTGCCTCAGGAGCATACCTGGCATGCGGCCAAGTCGGAGTGGTGCCTTGACTGCGGCTAGGACGGCCCTCGCACACAACCTCGCGCTCGTGCGCAGACGCTCTGGGAGGTGCTGCGCGCACTTCCAGAAGGGCTGCCCCCATACGACGATGTCTCCGATGAAGTGCGAGACGCCCTGCGAGATCCACGGCCTGCCCCTGCACTGTTTTTCAGTGATGCGCCTGAAAACATGGAACCCGAGTTTTGCCAGGAGAGACAGACACGTGCATGAACCGCATCCATTGGACTCGTGACCACGTCTTCGGAGACAAGGACTGACCGGCATTCCGTAGCTGCAGGGCACGTGCTTCTGATCCTTGCTCGCTGCGAGGAAGACAAGTGCGCTCTTGCCTACAGCAAGGTGCAGGTGGAGTGCGACGTGTGCCGATCTTGCTCCATCGAGGCCCGCGTAGTGGCACGGCTTCTGGTACTCGTGTCTTTCAGCAGCACGTGCATAGCACATCATCTGGCAGACAAACCAGTTTTGGGGGTCTAAGGCACCAGTTGTGGTGTCTAATGACAGACCGGAAGCATTGCACCCGAAACGGCTTCCGAAAGCAGATCTGGCAGACCTGTCCATGCATTCGTGCATGTTGGTGCGCTTGGAACAGGAGGCGGGCTGTGAAGTGCACATGTCGGGCTCACTACCCTTCGACTGCAATGCGGCCATCAACAACTTCTTCAGGGTCGCCTGGCCTGTGACTGGTGCACCGAGTGTGCGTGGGTTATGGGAGTGTAGGAGACGGTCGTCCCCCCTTCCGTGCCACGGCAGACGGTTGTGAGGCTTGGTCCCCGGAGAAGAAGCACTGGTGCTGCACCAAGCAGGGAAAGGGCTGCGAGGGCCACCACCCACCCTCGGTCGATGCCGGGTATGGCATGGCCTGGAAGCACGTCCAGGCGGCTGTTCGTTGATGCAGGGTTGACTCTGTGCTGCATCGCATGCTGGTGGCTGGGCTGGTGGCAGGTGAACGGCTACTGGACGTGGACGGCCGTGCACGGCCACGGCCACGCCAGCCTGCCCTACGACTGCCATGCCGGCATGGCCAACTGGCACACCGGCTGGTCTCCGGGCAAGAAGGCCTGGTGCTCGAGAGGCTCAGAAACTCAGAGGCTTGAGACACACGGAGCCGTGAGACTCGCACTGCAGGGCTGGTGCTGCACCAACCAGCAGCTGGGCTGCGAAGGCGGAGCCGCCGGAGGTGCCGGAGGAGCCGTGGCAGGCGCCCCGAAGATAACTGAACTTCGGATCGTACGGGGCTTGAGACAGCTCTCCCGAAGTGGATCCCTGTCAATACTTGGCCGGCGCAAGGGCCTGCACCGCAGAGGGATGAACGCATTATTCCGCGATGCAGCATCCCTTGGTGTCAGGAGGCAGCGTCGTCGTCCACCACGTCGTCCACCACGGTGGTGGCTTTTACAGCGCGGGCCCCAGCCGAGTTGCGGAGAGGTCCGTGGCGGCGTCTGTCGTGTTGCTGAGACCACGCGCATCCCCCGTCCGCTGCGGGCAGCGGCATGATGTGGAGCTGGAGCACCGCCGGAGGTCGGCACGGTCGGCACACCGCACACCGCAGGCAGTCGGCAGGCGTTCCTTCGCTTCGCATCGCCAGGCGGAGGCGGACATTGGGTGCAAGTCGGCACGCACGGGCACCTGCCCTTCGACTGCTTGGCACCTCGCCTCAGAACTGCAAAGCGCTGGTCTGCGAACGCTCTCGCCCTGCGCCGCACCGAGGCTGGCGTCGCCAACTGGCAAGCGGGCTGGTCCCATCCCAAGCAGGCGCCTTCGGCTGCGCATCTGCGGGTGTGCCTGTGGGGCTCAGCGACGATCAAGTCGCGACCCTTCAGCCGCAGGTCTGGTGCTGCAACCACTTCGGCAACTCCTGCGCCTGAGAGCCAGCCAGCAGGATGTAACGCGAGAGCATACGAGAGCAAATGGACAAACTGAGCCATCTCGGAGATTTTCCATCCAGCTGCATCATGTGGCTGGGCTGAGATGCATCTCAGCAAGGACACCTTTTTCATTCGGCATCTTAGGTGCTGTCCCTCGATGAAAGACCTGCAGCAAGCTGCAGGCGCTGTCTGCCAGTGCGAAGCACTGCTGCGCCTTGTTAAGCTGGGTCCGGCAACGTCCTTCAGCAACAAAATTTTTGCTTGATAGCAGAAACAGCCACCCAGTGGGATTGGCCGTTGTCGCACCATGTATTCGCACTCAGCGGCTGGCACCGCCCATTTAGGACTTGACTCCTCGGCATCTGTACCGGGAAGCTGTCACATCGAGCGGTGCTGGAAGCGTCCTTTGATCTGTGTAGCTCAACTTCACGTGCTGTCTTGAGACATGGAGTTGCTGCGAACAAACAATCGGCTACGCGAAGTGAAACAGCTGGCACAATGTGTGCACACGCTAGAGTCAGGACGGTGGACCGGACCCATGGCAATTGGCTCTCTGTGCATTGGGTCTCTGTGTATTGGGTCTCTGTGTAATGTATTGGGACTCTGTGTATTGGGTCTCTGTATATTCACTCTGTGTATTGGCTCTCTGTGTATTGGGTCTCTGTGTATTGGGTCTCTGTGTATTGGCTCTCTGTGTATTGGGTCTGTGTTGGGTCAGAGGGCTCCGCACGGAAGAACCAGGGAAGAACCCTTCGCGATGCTTTCGGGAAAAAACTTGCGCGCCGCCGTGCGCGGGGCCACTCGTGGCCACTCGAGCTGCGGGGCCACCCCTCGCGACACTTCTGTTCCCGGCCACTTGCGGCCACTTGGGTCAAGCGGCCCAAGTGGCCCAAGTGACCCAAGTGGTTAGGCCTGCCCGCGTCCGAGGAATACGAAAAGTGGAGGCCAGCGTGCGTTCGTCGCGCACGGAGCTCGTTCTGGTTTCCAGAACGAGCTCCGTGCACGACTAAACGGTGTTTTTGGGCCCTCAGGTCGTGGCGAGTCCGGGCCGGGCATCGGCTTCTTGGGTTTTTACAGCCCTGAAAACCTAAAAAAGCGGAGGCTAAATGGCCCTTGCGGCCATTTGAACCAAGTGACCCATGTGACCCAAGTGGCCTGCAGTTCTGATTGCGAACCCGGATTCCCAAGTGACCCAAGTGGCTTCCATCGCTGATTGGTTCCCGAATCCTCTTGCACTCTTCCGCGTCGTGCGTGCACTTGCGCCCTGAAAATTTTGACATGCCAGTTGCATGATGGAATAGCATTGCCGAGCATTTTTCGGTTTGCATTCGGCACGTCCCAGCTCAGCAGCGGGTCAGCTCAATAGCAAAGTGACCTTTCGCGATTTACAAGGATCATTACTTGATGCTTGCGCACGCCTTGCAGCTTCAACCAGTGCCGCCACTCGAGCCATGTTGTCGACGGAAGCGGCCGCTCCCTTTGCAGAGGCAATCGGCTTTGTTCGATAGAGGGTGATTTTTTCTGTGCGCTTGGGTCCGAATAGAACACACTTCCCTTGCCTGCCTTCAGGCCTAGCTGGCCGACGTGATGGCGCGGCTGGCCGAGCTAAAGTGGCTTCGGTCAAACAGACAGAAGACTGCCTGTCAAGAAGCAAGGTATTCTTCATGCATGACCCGACTCCCAGCACATGGCCCTAAGAAGGATGCTCGAGTGGGTAAAAGATGCTGTTTTGCACAGTGGCACACCCTGGTCGCGTCCATATCCTCCAAGTGACCGAGGTGGGGACTACGGCAGGAAGTCCACCGAGGTGCCTGGCGGATTGAGCGAGTTGGAGCAGCTGCCCCAAAGCATCCCAAAGCTCGTGCTGCTTGAGGCAAGCTGGCCACTGGTGGTAAGAAGTCCCTCCAGCTGCTTGCCTTCCTCTTCTATGGGAACAGTCCTGAGAACTCAGTTTCTGCAATCCCCACTGCCAGTGCAGCTTGGGTCTGTGTAGCAAACTGGTGCTGGTCCTCGGCGGCACCGCTGAGGTGCACGCGGCGGCAGGCGCAAGCCAGGCTTCGGAATGCTATCTCCATCCTTGCTGCGCAACAACCTTTGGCCTCAGCATGCTCATGAGGACATCCTGTCGGTTATGCCCCAACGTGATGGCCGTTCACTTGCGTCCACGGGCAAGCAGCGGTTGTTTTATTCGGGCCACTTGCTTGTGCTTCTGGCTTGTGGACAAGGTGCCAGGCGTTTGGATATCCTGACCCGGCCTGATCCGTGATGGAGCTGAGCCGGGCTTCCAAGGCCAAGATATATGCCGCAGATCCCAGCCCCATGCCTGCAGTCATGAATTCGGAGCCGGCACCCTGGCTACACACGATGCTGCATCCCCTCGGAAGCAGGCTCACCCCTCGTGACATACCCTACGTGCCCAGATCATTCGCGATTGCGGGAGTGGTGTGCTGAACAGACTTGCTGCTGGGACCACAGCTTCGCAGGTACCGTAGCACTACGTTTTGAGACCAGGAAGGCACACGAATGGGATAGCAGTCCAGCGTCTGGACAAGCACATGCTGGTTTGTTGTGTTTGTAAGACAAAGTAGGCAGACTGGACTAGCTTTGCCCCTTGAGCCTTGACGTTGCATGCAGCGTCTCCGAGCCACAGGTTCTTCATACATGTCGATGCTCTTTCAGGATGCAAGACTGACAAAACCTCGTCATGGTCGGCCAGTGCGCTCTACTTGTGCATGCCAGAGAGTGCTGAAACAAAAAGGGATGGGCCGACACCGGCACATGAAATTACCCAATTACCCTCGTGCGAATGCCAGAAGCCGACGTGGAAAGTCCTGAACCCCCCTCCCCGCCAGTGCGCAAGAAGGCCAGAGATACCTTTAGGACAATTGAAGGGGGGGGGTTCAGCTGAGAGGTCATGAAATTGTGCCCATCCGGTGGTTGGTTGAAGAAACGCAGGTGGAGCTTGTTGTGTGCACCTTTGTCAGATGCAGTGCTGCCGAGCATGGGCAAGCACAGTTTAGCGCTGAACGGCTGAACGCCCCCCGGTGCAAAAATCCCAGCATTTAGGCGGCCGCGTTGATGTTGTTCTTGGCTCAGGCATCAGAGAGCGAACAAGTATCATGTGCTGATTGTCACTCCGTATCCAGGCGAGCACTGCATGATAGTGATATATAGTGATAGTGGCGACTAATTCTGTATTCGCAGAGGGCGGTTGTTGCTGTACAGTGCTTTCACACGGCGCCATGGCAGAGGAGGACGAGGATCCTTTGACTCCCCCTGACCCCGAGCAAGGCCCCAGCAAGCTCGACAAGGTGTGGTTCTCAGTCTGTTTGACCTTGTGCGTCTCTATGAGCTGGTACCGCCTCCAAGCCCCTATAGGCCTCCCAAGGAGTAGCGCACGCTGTTTGATCACGAAGCGTGTTCTGGTCACCGAACAAGAAGCCATCAGCTGCGAGCCAGCAAACCAGCATGCAAACGAGAGAGCAAGCAAGCACATAAGTAGCAAGCAGGTGTGGAATCTGACAAATTAGACATTAGAGGCAGATGGTGGGTACTCTGACTTGCTTGCAGGTGCTGATGCAGTATGTCAAGGAAAAAGACGAGCAAGATTGCTCATGGGAAGAAGGTTTGGATATGAAGTCGCAAGGGAAAGAAGATTCGGCTTCCGAGGAGGGCCATGCTGCCGGCACAGTACAAGATGTGCGCAGAAAACGATCGAAAAGAAAGAAACGGAAGGCCTCGACGTCGATTGACAAAAGCAAAGGCCTCGACCTTTTTGCAGACAGCTTTGCCAACGACGCCAAATCTGCAGTGCGGACTTTTCTCACCAGATACGTTGCAAGACAGCTGACCCGAGAAGATTACTGGTGTGAGTGTCAGGAAGTGGAGGCTGGCAAGTTCATTGCAAAGCTACATGCACCTTGCTATCGTGAGCGGGTCACCTATGATGGCAACATATGTGACTCGCAGAAAGAAGCTGAGAAGTCGGCTGCAGAGACGTTTCGGAACGATACGGAAGCGCAGGAATCAGCTGCTGCATTGCCGGCGTCATTGAGTAGCATTCGGTATGCGACCAAAGCAGACAAGGCCAAGATGTCCATCCTTCGCACTCATGGGCGATTCCTTCGTGACGAAAGCTGGCACCTGTACAATCTTCAGAGGGACGAAGGCTGCAAAATGCAGGTCTGGGACGGTGCATGACAGACGAAATGCTGCAAAATCGACTGCATTTGCATTCTTTAAGTGGCATGGCGCACGTGTGTACTTGCTAATTACGCACTGAATGGACGGAAGTCTTGCATGACTAATGCACGTGTGGCCCTTGTTGCAACCAGAATTGTCTAGGTAGCATGCCAACAATTCCAAGGCTGTCACGAATCCAGGCGGTATTGTATTTCATACTCGGTACTGCTTCCGAGAAATATTGACAGCTGCCCTTGCATCCTGGCAACCCTACACCGCACGCAAAGTTCTAAGGACTCCGGACCCGAGACGCGAGAAAGTTCAGCACCGTGCCCTAGGCCATAGTCGAAGGCAGCACGGGTGTTTGGGCTGATCGCATGCCAACTGTTTGCTTCTCGGCTCTCCGTGTGACGTAGACTGTGATGCTGAGCCAGAATAGCCTTAAAGCTCGTGTGCCGGGCTGCGGCCAAATAGTTGATGATCGGCATTCATGGCGCAAGCCGCGAAGGCATAAGACATGCGATGGGCTCACCGGGAGCCCTACAACCTCCCGAGGCCATATGCACGTCAAGACGTGCTTGAACAGAGCCCCTGTCAGCCTTAGAAGCCCTGAAGCCGCAATGAATCTCTGAAGTCATAAAGGTCAGTTTAGCCAAACCTCGGTGCTGCGCATGGCACCAGTATTCATGTTGCCTTCCGAGCTGTCGCTACGTGCAGGGCACAAGTTCACGTCACCACATGGCTAGTCGATGGCAGTCATGCTGGAGGCTAGGGCTGCAGCTCGTCACTAAAAAATACACCTTGTGGTTTCCAGGTAGCAAGTCCTTCAAACGCTTTCGGCATGCTGTCGGCTAAAGATAGCACAGCGCAGATGCAGAGTCACTGGATCATCACAGCCTTGACCAAAGCAGTTTGTCAGGTTTGGATGGTTGGGTCCTTGGCTTTGACTTCGCAGGAAGCAAGGAGATACTGGCATGCTCAACTTGGTGTCTGCAGTTTGAAGGTTCAAGAGTCACTGCAGGGTGGTCATGCAGTTGGGCCTCTCCGGGATTGATTGAAGATACAGCTTGTTTTGCGCACGGTTGTAACAGCTTGCGAGCACGGGCAAGCGCAGGTGAGCGAAGTCTGTTGCCATGCCATTTTGTTCTCGCGAACTCGATCCGGTTTGCTCTTGCCATACCATGGCTGGCAGAACGGCCCGGCGCGATCGAAGCCAGCAAGATCGTAAGAAGCTTGTTGAACCCTATTCCGTCTACGGCTCGAAGTGGCATCACATGTTCATCATCTGTTTTCAAGCAGAATGCTTGCACAGTTTGTCTTGGAGCGCCTTTCTCTAGACAGAGCGGCATTGCACCACCTGCTACAGGATCCCTTGCCCAAAGCCGGGAAGCGGCCGTCGTCTTATGATCCTCAGACGCTGCTGGTCCGCGAAGTTATGCCTAAGACCTAAGATTCTGTTTGCCCCGACCCAGAGGATGAACAGCCTGAGTGCAATCCAAAAGCACCGACTTCATGGCATAAGCCCTGCGCCGAAGACAAGGGGCCGAGCTCTCTCATCCTTACTTGTGCCTGAAGGAAGAGTACTGGGTTTGGATTAGTCAGTGGACCGAGGCTTCCGGATTTGTGGGTTCGCAGGTGGCAGGCCTAAGCTCATGTTGGGTTTTGTTCCAGGCACCGGATTTCTGGTCCGCTAGGTTGGTATTCTTGGATGCCAAGCCCAAGTTGTCAAATTCGACCATGATACCTTGATCGGACGATAGGGATGTTGGTAAATTATCGCGCATGTCATATGCTACGCCAAGCCCGACTGCTGTAGCTGCACGCCCTTAGTGCCCTTTGTAAGTTCGCAAAGTATAGCTTTCTATTGATCTCGAAGTGGGAATGACACCAATGTCAGCGGTCTAGTCTAGTCTCCAGAACCGGCTTGGTACCAGAGTGCAGTTTCGATGCTCAAGAAAAATGCGGTATAAAGCATTACGTGTCTTGCCGGAAAAGTAGGTTCTTCCAGTCAGAGCAGATGCCCTCGCAAAGCATGAAGCCCAGGCCGGTGACCCAAGCGTGTGTGAGTCTGCCCGCTCTGCTGTTGATCTAACAGATAGTTCAATTTTCCCTCATGCCCATTTACATACAGGAATCCAGTGTTTCACCGCAGGTCAAACGTAGGCTCAAGACAGCCCGACAGCGGAGCGTCAAGTGAGAAAAGAATCCAAGCTCGCGCCGTGGTTGTAACAAGGACACTGGTTTAAGGGTTTAAACTTTCATGGTAGCGGAGCTGTTGGCAAAGGCCAGCAGCTGATCAAGCAAAGATCCAGGGAAGCCAGCCACGAGCTGGAAAAGGTGAAAAGTGTGGAACAGGAAGTTACGGTTTACCAAGAGCATCCTGTCGGAGAATAGCGAGGAGTTACGGCTAAGCCAAGAGCACCTTGCAAAGTCGGAGAAAAGCGTGGAAGTGAAAGACCTTGAGCCAGATATACAAGGACCTGCCAAAGTGTTGGAAAGATGCAAGAGCAACAACAAGCTCAACAGCCACAGCACCAACCGAACCCTCAACAAGTGAGGTTGGAACAGCTGATGACTACACTAGGTCAAGCTACAGAAGCTATGGCAAGAGTTGCGCAAGGAACAGCAATGCAGCAAGCGCAATTGACAACAGCAATGGATGCATTGGCAAAAGCCCAAGCATCACCGAAGGCAGCCCCTACGGGAGGCCAGCCAGCCTCAGTAAGTTTTGATACTGGAGGAAAGATCCTCAAGCCACCAGAAGCATTCAATCCTGCGACAATTGAAGAAGAAGTGTCACAATGGAGTGACTGGTCATTTACGTTCAAGAACTTCTTAGCGTTCATGGACCAAGAATTCCTGAAAGACTTGAAAGCGGCAGAAGAACAAACAGCCGTGATAACAACAGAAGTGACAAATGCATTCTTCAACAATGATCAAACAAGAGTGAACAGAGGAACGAAGCTTTACTCAGTGTTTAGCAGTTACTTGAAGAACAGACCTCTGAAAGTGCTTAGAAGCGTGAGCGGGATGAACGGATTTGAAGTGTGGAGAAAGTTGACGGCTGAATTAGAGCCGACATCTCGTTCAAGGAGTCTAGCAATGGCACAAGCATTGGTTGGATTCCCGGCCATGAGCAAAGGAGCATCGTTGATGGACTACGTCCTGACATACGAGAAGCTCACAGCAGAGTACGAAAAGCTCTCAGGGCAGAAGTATGATGATAACTTGAAGATCGGTACACTGCTGAAAGGAATTCCACAGCACCTCAAGCAGCATGTGATGGTTGATATCACTGATAAGACCACGTATGAAGAGTTAAGAGCAAAGCTGCTACAATATGAAAGAAGCAATCAGACATGGTCAGCTGAAAACATCTTAGGATCGCTAAGTGTTCCAGACCCAACGTCACACTCAAGCAACAAGGCTTACCAAGGACCAATTCCAATGGAACTCGATAGATTACACATGAGAAAAGGTAAAGGAGATGGAAAAGGAAAAGGTGACAAAGGAGGAAAAGGAAGCCCTTATGGAAAAGGAAGAGACAAAGGAAAGGGTAAAGGATACGGAAAAGGAAAAGGTGGTAGAGGAAGACCAAAAGGAAAAGGAAGAGGTTTTGGAAAAGGAAAAGGATATGGAAAGAAAGGTGGAAAAAGCATCAGGCAGGCCGACGGAAAAGGCTACGAAAGTGACAAAGGAAAAGGAAAAGGTGGACACAACGGACCTGTATGTTTCAACTGTGGTAAGACCGGACATTACTCTTCGGAGTGTTGGTCGCCACCAAAGGGAAAAGGAAAAGGAGGAAAAGGAAAAGTTCGCAACGTCCAAGAGACAGGCGAGGAAGAATGGTATGAAGAGCAACCAAGTTCTTCTACACAGGCACAAGCAAGGCCACCGCAAGGAACAAAAGGAAACGAACAAGTGCGTAGGTTGGTGACAACACCTATGCCAGTGATTGAAGAAGTGTTCGACGACGATGAAGAGTACGTCGACCTTGTAGGAATGTTCGAAGAGATGGTGATGGACTATGCTGCAAGAGCAGTAAAGGTCAACACAGTTGTGCTACTTTCAAGCATGGTTGATGAAAGTGATGAAGAAGATTATGAGAAGGATGAACTTCACAAGTGGTATGAAGATCTGCAAGTGGACAAGCAGAATGCTAAGCATGCAAGAGAAAGAGAAAGACTCTTTGGAAGAGAAGTCAGAAGCGCCACTGTCCAGAATGATGAAGAACCAGAAGTGCTTCTAGTAAGAGCCATTAACTCAAGCCACTCAGAACTCGTTGAAGTTGTGCTAGATAGCGGTGCGGATTGTCATGTACTTCCGCTATGCTATTACAGCGAAGACTTAGGAACAGTTGAGTTCCCAGCTTTGAGAATGGTCATTCAAGATGCTCAAGGCAACAGAATAAGAACCACTGAAACAAGAGCAAACATCACATTCGAATTCCAAAGAACAGATGGAAGAGTGATAAAGGTGAGAGATTCAGCTGTGTTCGGAGATGTGACACAACCACTATTTCCAGTAGGCAAGTTGTGGAAAGTTGGATGGGGGCTTGATCCCCTAGATCAGTTCAATGCTTACCTGAAGAAAGGTTCAGCAAGAGTGCCAGTGAGGTTTGCAAGAAACTCAACAGTGACAGACCTCAAGATTTACAGAGCTCAAGTGAAGGTTGAAAGTGATGAACCACAAGTGAGGAAGCTTACATTGATCAAGCAGATGGAAGATGACTTCGAGAAGATGAAGTATCATCAAGGATGGTTTTTCATGTCAGATGGGAAGCCAGCAAGGATCGATTATGACAAGTATGTAACATATGACCCCACACATGATGATGTGAAAGCGTTCAAGTTCAGAACTACTTTGGTATCGAGGTACGATGGTGACGACATCGTATGGAGCGAACTGGAGTTTGTGGAGTGCGCTGAAAAGTGGGAAGACCGAGAAGAGATTACGATAGACGCAGTTGAGGAGAACTCGGTGATCATCACGATCTTGGAGAGAAAGTCTCTGGGACT